TTGCTCATACGACGACTGGGGGAGCTCATTTTTATTCAATTTTTTCAAAATCAATAAGCTACTTACAGAGCTTGTTTTTAGTAAAAATTTCGAGATGATATCATTTTAAGTTTTTTTAATATTTCAAGCCCCTTTCCCCCCATTTATATTCAGATAATCTTCAGAATCAATAAGCTTCATCGATTCATCCCCTTAAAGAGCTTGATTTTTACTAGACATTTCATGTTGATATCGCTTTTCTATTTTAATTTCTATTATTTTTTTTAAGTTTAACCCTCCTTAACACGCCCATTTTTATTCAGATTTTTTTCAAAATCGATAATAGGCTTCCTTAGAGCTTGATTTTTGCTAAAAATTTCGTTATATAATTTATTATTTTTAAATCAGGATTATGTTAATATTTTAACCCCCCTCTTAACCTCCCATTTTTATTCAGATTTTTTTTAGATTCAATAGGCTTCGTCCCCTTATAGAGCTTAATTTTTGCTAAAAATTTCATGTTAATATCGCTATTTGTTTTTGACTTATCTTGCGGACAAAAAACGTGACATCGGCCGGACATGTTTTAAAAGTTGTTTAAAGGACTGTGGTAAATTCATTTTTTTTTAATTTGGATCAATATTAAAAATGTTGGTTTCTCGAATATGAACCTATAATATTCTTCACATACTACTGTGTGTAATAATAATAAACAGGATTACTAAATCCAGAGGTCACGTATATATTTTTAAAATGATAATTCATAAATTCATCCACAATCATGGTACAAATGTGTCATTCATTTCTAAAAATAATCCAGCCGCATTTTTACAAAGAAAACTAATCAAAACGTTTACGTAATGTTACATAATTAGGCAAAAAAATTGTTTATTGTTTAGTAATTGACTGATAATTTTAATCGCGTAGGTGAAAGTATCGGTTACAATAAAAAAAAAGGAAATAATTTTATTATAAATGAATAAATTTAATAAATATGTACACAGCATAATTTATAAAAGCGCCGTAAAATATAGGTCAATTTTAAATGAAATATCCTGCATATTTCTACATTTTGTAATTGTGTTATGGGCCATAAAAATGTGATCCATTATTATGCCTCTAAAACATAGTAATGTGGGCATATACCAGCAAAATATCCTTTGCAATTAGATTGTAGAGGAAGTGAGCCAAATATGGAATGCCATTTCGTTTTTTATACATAAATTCAGAATGTCTTCTTAACACCCTTTGTTTTTTGTGTAGGTTCTTTACATCATTGAAAACCCTAATTTATTATTAACAATATTAAATCTATTCTACAGGAGTCACAGACAAATATTCGATATAAAATTGAATTTTTTGTACCTAATACAGAATGTTCCCTAATATGGAACATGTAACGAAAAATAGAACAGGACCCTACACAAAACATTTTATTACTTAATGCTACATGAAAAAAAAAAAAAAAAAATAATTCAACATAAAATATCTTGGACTTGGATTTACATTTTGGTTTCTAAGGCATTATTTCTTATATATCGAGGAAATCTGTCTGCCAAATTTGAAATTTTGATAACAAGTGGTTGTTGAGTTTTAGCTAGTTATAAAAATTCATATGAAATTCGTAATGAATCTAAGTAAGTAACGATATGTGTGATTTCAAATTATCCAAGTGTTCCACACCTATAGTTTATTCTAAAACACCCTGCATAAACGAAGGATGTAATAAATATTTTTATGAATTATAAGAAGCCTTTCCTTAATTCCTTAAAATTAACGGTAGTAATATGATTAATGATCGTCTTACTTCAATTTATTAAACGAAATAGGGATGTAGATCTTAATCTCCTTAATCTTAAACGTAATATCCTAGACTCGATGCGATTATGAGTTCGTCTGAGAATTCCAATTCGATTCGATTAGTTAGAATGAAGAAGATTATGGTGGTATGCTATTATCGATTAGAAATTTCTTGCAGAAATCAAATTATCGCTCCCATCATTTTATCACGATATTTCATTTTCATGTAGGCAGTAGGTAATGTAAGCTGTTAAACTATAATTCTTCAAGTTGTTAATTAAATGTGATATTAAACTTAATTAATAGTAAAAATAAATAAATTTATAGGTCGTAAATATCAGGTTTTTTTAATTATCTGAAATAGAAAAGTTGTAAAATATCTGAATTTAGTAACAACAGGTTAGGAGCCACATATGTAAATTATTTTTATTATGATACTGCAAAAGATTGGTAATATCCGTAGAGCTTCAAAGATTCACTTGTAAGTGGGTGAATTATGGGCAATCTTATAACATTTTCTTTTAATGTCTCTAATATCATGTTATGATTGGTGTCTTTTTCTTGAAAGTTTCCATTCTCAGTATTTGAACTATAGAATTACATAGGACTGGCTCTCCAAATGGAGTGATAAACAATTGCATTTTTAGGCTATTCTAAACATCAATAGGGACACCTCAGTCCCTCAAAACACGTGGTGCCCTATCTGATATTTACTGTTCGAAGTTTTAGAGTGACCTTGCAAATTTTTTCGAGTAGAGTAGAGAAATTGTTTTAATTCTTTCTTTGTGGATGAATTCTACAGACTTAGCCAATGGATGCGAGCTAATGATTTTACGGTTGCTCAGCTCAAATTTGTTCACCGACCACTTGCGTGGTTAATTAGAGAATTAGGAACAAAAAAATGTGCTAATTCAAACAAAAATCTTTATTCATGAAAACAACTTCGAAAACAAAAAGTAACAATAAAAAAATAATGTATCCCAAAATAACTCGATCATCATTACTATTATGAGAAAGTGACTATTGTGTTCCTCTATATAACTGGGGTTCTTCCTTGAGTTACTTTTTCTTGCGTATCCTGTTTGGTTCAAGATTTAAACAATGTAGTCGACAGTCTCTAAATTTAGCTTCAGGTTTATTAATCGATAATCTCCTTGAAGAAGACTAGTTTTGAAAAATAATGTATTGGGATCATCTCTGCTTTGTAAGATCCATAAATGTTAAGACAATTTTTTAAAATCGTAGAAATCGTTGAATTCTAAGGGAATATCGTATGGATTCCGACGCCTGGCCAATTTCAAGGTAATTATCAGTTGGGAGGGTAGAAAGCAGTTTCCAGCATGTGATATAGCATCAGATGCAATTATATACAAAGTGTCTTTATTTTGACCGTGGTAAAACTCGAAGTAAAGCAAAGTTATCGTGTCTATGTTTTGCTTTGCACCACTATCAATAATAGCAATAATATAATTTTTATTTTGTCCTCCACACCCGTCATAGCGAGACAATCTGGACATTATTACCATCGTATCTCTGGAGAACTTTATAAATGCTTGTTGCTATTTTACATGATTCTCTTTTACTAATACCCTCATGCCATGAAAAGCAATTGGATTTTTTGGTAGCAATATCATAAAAGGTTAAATTGAAATTAGAAAAGCAGTATTTCCGTATTTTTGGCCTGCGGTAGATCATTGTCTGTAGAATATTCACTGTTAGGTTCCTCGGTATGTATCACGACACCACTATACCACTTTATACTTCCCTCGATAAGAGGAAGTATTGCAATCGTGAAAATGTCGCCCTTCGAGATTTTTTCAGATCTTCACGTTTCAGAGTCCCCAAAATACGAAAAACATGTTTTTCTACACCCACATGGATATTAGAGAGTTGAAGTGATACTAAGAACACTGCAAAAAAATGAAATCCACCAACCACAGATCATATTTTAGACACCCAACTACTATTATTTTTAAAATTTTGAATAAGTGACAATTCTGTCAAACTAATTGTCAGTATATTTTTTGTTATTGAGATTAAATATACATTAAAAAGAGTTATTTTTGTGTAGAATCAATAAATAATTTCATTTATTTTTTATTTAGTTCACATTTAAAAAAAATTAAATATTAATCAAACTATATGAAACTAATTTAATTAAAACTAATATCTTAAAAGGGGCCGTGGAGCTGTGGACAAAGCATCTGCCTTTCACCCGAATAGCCCGGGTTCGAATCTGGACTTGGGACGAAATTTTTCTTTTTCTCCACGTTTATTTTATTTTATAAATTAGTAAATTTCTTAAATTATTTTAAAATTAATTATTTTGTCTTAAAAAATTTGTAGAATTTCGTTAATGGATCGTAGAAAAAATATACTCTACAAATCGAGTCCATATCCACTCTTTTTGAACAAACTACTATTCCCCATTCCGTCGGTCTATCTGTCGTCGCCTGTCTGTTGGCATGATAGCTCAAAAACGGCTTTATAGAAAAACTTCATATTGTATACCTACAGGTAAGGTCCCTTTCTGCCTCAAAATTGGTTATACTTCCGGTCAATTATATACAGGTAGAGTAGTTTAAAAAAAATATTTATTTTTAAAAGTCGTCAGATTTTGACTAAAATTGTGTATCTGAATATTCAAAATGGAGTTGAAAGGAAACTTGATAATTTTAAAAGCATCCAATCATTATCGTTCGATAACGGTGAACGTGACGAAGAACACCGGGCCTACGCGAAATAAGAGGTCGGGTGGAATCAAGAGGAAGATCGACGGAGAGAGGAAGGTGAAAAGGGGTTTTTGGTTTGGTGATTTTAATTTTGAATTTATTTACTATTTTGGTAACTATGCAATATTTAATACCTGTTTTAACAATTTCTATATCGAGGAAAGTTATAAGTAAAAAACTTTTTTACACATTGCAACTGTACTCCCAGTTTTTATAATTCCAGACGTTTTCAATTCATTAACTAAAACAACTGCAATCCGTGACACCTGTACAACAGCGTAATAAAGACTGTGTTTAGAGTTAACTGAAAACAATTTTGCTTACGCTAAATCAAGTCGTAAATCGCACTAGTGAGATAAGTCTGTTCGTGTTTTCATATTAATATCACCACATTTAGGGTTACCGTATTCAAAATTACAATTTTCAGACATTTCTAATGAAAATTTCGGACATTTCTTTAAAAATCCGGACAAAATAATAAAACTCCAAGTTATTATGTATAATTTATTAAAAAAAAAAAATCCCAAGTTTAATACCTAGTATGTGTACAAATCACTTAACAAATTTAATAGCGTCCATCAGGTTCATTAACCAAATCATTAATTAATTCTTTTGCTCTAGCTACACAAGAGTCACTCCCAAACATTTTTACTACAGTATCATCTCCTTCGGTTTCTTTAGTGACTTGTATCTTTGCGCCAGAATCACTTTGAAGCTCATTGATTTTTGACCCTCCGCGTCCAATAACTTTGCCAACTTTCGTTGACGGCACGTGCATTATTTCGCATTTGCCGTCTCTCCAATTTTGGCCTGAGTTTCTATCTCCATCATCTCTCCTTCCGCCACCGCCGCCATAGCCTCCACCGCCGCCATAGCCACCGCCGCCGCCATAGCCGCCACCACCGCCTCCATAGCCACCGCCGCCGCCATAGCCACCATCACCTCGTCTATCTTCTCTATAGCTGTTTCCGCCGCCGCCTCCACTTCGTCTATCTTCTCTATAGCTATTTCCACCCCACTCGTCACCCATTATTGTGTTTTAAAGAACTTTTTTTAAAAAATTTACTCACAAATACAAACGTGTTCGAGTATGAACGGCACAGAAATAATAACTAAAAGTTTTATTCAAAAGAGTTAAAATACCGCCAAAAACTAAAAACAAAAATAGTCTATCAATTAAAAACGGGTGAATTTAAACATAAAACATTATACAGGGTCCCTACTGTTTCATAGAGACAGTATTGTTGTTTCTTAAATGGTAACAATAGAAAGTTTTATTAAATTAGACAAATGTTGCGCAGTTTTGTGCTCCCAGGTTTCTTGACACAATTTTAATGAGCACAAAACTGCGTAACTTTTGTAAAATTTAACCAACTTTCTGTTACCGTTTAAGAAATAGCAATACTGTCGCAATGAAATAGTAGAGACCCCGTATAATACAAAGGGGATACACAAACAGAAATACACAACCGTCCATTAAATATTAACATAAAAATAAATTATGAAAATGTAACTGAAAAGTTCATTTTAACGGACAAAAGAACTGTTTATACGGGATTTTAAGTATACTTTAATACATTTGACGATTTTTCTGAAAATTCCGGACAACTTATAATAATCGGCGCATTCCGGACAAAACGACAAGTCCCGACTTTTCCTGATGTCAGGTAACCTTAATCGTATTTCTAAGAAGTCACGAACAGGCGAATATTTAGTTTTTTTTCGATCAATTGCTTTTTCAATCAAATCTATTTTCGATTATTGTTCTTTTTGATCATTTTTGTTTTCGGACAATTTTTATTCCACATAGTTAATAGTAGACAGTATTAGATACAGGGGCGGTTTCTCCATTGGTTCATTTGTGCAGTGACCACCCAGTTACAGTAACACATTATTTTAAAATAAATAACATAAAAATATAACTTCAATTTTAATAATTTTATTATTTTCCTACGTGTTAGTCTTTATTGGTACGCCACTGCGCTCTTGCTAACCGGGTCTTTGTGTTTCACTATACTGAGTGAACCCGAGGAAGCGAGAGGTTTTCGCGAAAGCCTGTAGCTAAAAAAAGAGAGGTCAATACATCGACAGATCCGTGAAACAAACAATGTGCCTGCTAAAAATCTCGTTATTTTGTGCATCGCACACAATCAACGTCACAAAGTAGGGCGAACAATAAGAAATCTTTCTAATCTTTGATACAGAATAAAGAGGAGATGCAATGAGGATACTAAAAGTGTCCGCACTTTTGCATCGTATGTCAAATTCGAGCTAGTCAGTTTTGGTGAGAATAAATGCCATTTTTTTAAATAAAATAACGTGATTTAAATGATATAAAAACATTTTCATTCCTTCAATCTTCAAATATAAAAATATTAACTTAGGATTAATCCAAATATGACTCAAAGTGCGTCCACTTGTTATATCACAAAATACTGTTTATGTCGTCTCTACTTCATTCTATCTCGATGATTCCAATCAAGTTGTCAAACTCTAAAAATTCCCATAAGACAATTTTAATTGTTTATTTAAAAAAAATATGTTTAAATAAAACTGCGTCTTTAATAAATCGGAAGTATGTATGTCAATTCAACGATTGTTACCGAAAAATTTCTCCATTTACTACATTTGAAACATAAAAGTATTTTTGAGGTTATAATGTTTACAAAACCAATAATAAAGAAGTTTTCCACATGGTTCCAATTTAATGAGACATATTGTATTCAAAAATAATCTCAAAATGTAAAGAAAAGTCAGCTGACTATAACTAATAATGTTTATATTACAATAACTCAAATATTCATTAATTTCATTAATAGTTGTAGTGCTTGAAAAGAGTATGATATTGATAATAATACTACACTTAATACAAACCCAAATAAAAAAGAAACAGCGATATTGGCGCTTGTACAAAGTTTGGAACCGAACTTACAAATGATAAAGTTATTGAAAAAAATTGAACACCCATTTAAAATTACTACAAGCTGCCACTGATTAGATATATTAGGAATCATACATAATTATATGGTATGACAGTGACAGTGTTTCGTATTCGTGAACCGATCCTCTTTTTTTTAGTAAAAAGGATTCGAACATGCGATTCATGATTCGAATCACATTTCGTAAATCGGATTCGTGATTCGAATCTATTTTTTGAGGATTCCTCTCAGTTCTATACAGAAGGAACATCGGTCATTACTTTTTTGTAATAAATAATAAATTTTGTTTATATTAAGAAAATGATCTCTTATTCTGAATAATGTTTTCAAACCTAACCATGGCGTGAAGACACCAAATTGTGTATTCTGTTCATCCACCAAAACTTTAATTAACCTTAATCTTTTAAGGGGTTTTCCGCTCTAGAAAACTTATTTGTAGGTATTAGTATTAGGGATATTTTGTTGATACAAAATTAGAGGTGTCATGCAATGTAAATTGTTATTTATAAGCAACGTCTTAACTACAGACGTACAGAAGTACCAAGTTCAGTAACGTACCATTTTAAAGGGCATCTATTTTATAAAATGCACTCCAATATCACAATAGTGTATTAATTTAGATAAGGATTAATTATTTTTTATGGTGAGATTGAGAGAAACAAATTTATTTAGCAATCTTTAATCTGCTTTTTTATTTGTGAGGTTTATACTAGAATTTGTATTAGAGAGTTTTTACTGACTTATTTAGGATTGAAAACTTTAAAAGATTGTTTTTTATTGTAATTTCAATGGTTTTCACTATTAGAAGTCTTAAAGCTATTAGTTTAAGCAGCCATAAATGAACGCATACATTATCGGAATTAACACGGTAGAATATGTAGAAGAAATCCGCTTTGAAACGAATAGGTACTTGGTCATTTTGATGAATAAAGGCGGCCATTACGATTGAAACTAAGTTAAGCGAAGATAAGTTTTCAATAAATCAGTTAAACACACTTTTAAATAGATGAACGTAGATCATTCAGAAACGGAAATCCTTCTATTATATTTTTTCCAACAATATTTTTTACTTCATAAGTTTTAAAATTCTCGCCTTCATCACTTCATCATAATATTTAATATTCATGTAGTAGTAGGTAATTAGAATATAAAAACTTATATATAATTCTTCTGTTTTTAATTAAATATGATATTAAAGTTAATTAATAGTAAACATAAATAAATTTATACGTCATAAATATCTTTTTTTTTTAATTATTTGAAAAAACAAACTTGCAAAACGTTTGAATTTAGCAACAACAGTTTAGGAGCTATATATACTGGATGTTCCAGAATAAAGGACGGTAGATGTTAATTAATTATTAAGAATAGCTAAATATAATTTTCCTGTAAATGTCCAAGTTTTCATTCTACAGGGAGATAAAGTGAATTTCATAAATACATAATTTTCTAAATATCGTTCCATATGGTAAAGCCTTTAATTTAAAAATATGTATATAGTTAATCACCATTATTAATTAATACACTTTATTTCGATAAATTACGATAATCCATTGGCGTAGAATCAAGGGATAAGAAAACAATTTTTATCCAAACTATTTGAACACCTTATATTTCATAAAAGTTAAGATTGATAATTATTCCTCTCGCAATTTGTCACAAAAAAGGTGCTCTTGGTTGATCTTTGTAAAACATTCTATTTCCGAGATTTTTCAGTTTTAGTCCTACTCACACATGAGAACTATGTACATACATTATGAAATTCCAAAAACGCAAATTTTTATTAAGGGCCAATTTCATAATCATGATCAATACTGAAAAGTCCATAATATCTTGTTCCCTTTAGTTAATATTCATTATAAGATCGTACATAGATTTCATATTTAAGTAGAACTAAAACTGAAAAATCTCGGAAATGGAATGTTCTACCTATAGAGATTAACCAGGAGTCCCTTTTTTGTACATAGTTTTCATGTATGGCTTAAATTGAAAAATCTCGGAAATGGAATGTTTTACAAAAATCAACCAAGAGAACTTTTTTTGTGACAAATTACTTCAGGAATAATAATTACTAATCTTATCTTTTATGAAATATAGGACGTTCAAAAAGTTTGGATTAAAATTGTTTTCTCTGCCCTTGATTCTACGCCAATGGGTTATCGAATTAGAGTGTGTTAACTAATAATGGTGATTAACTAATGGATGAAAACTGGGACGTTTACAGGAATAATAATTGTGCAACAAGAGTGGATATGATGGCCACATCGCACGAAGAGTTTGAGTTTAAGCACGACACCGTAGGCAGAGTGTACAATCGTCTGAGTACGATACGGACAATCCGCTTGAGTTGTATATTTTTTCTACGGCCTACTAGATTAGATTAGATTTAATTAGGACTATGGGCCATGTGGCCTCCCCCACCTCGACCTTTTCAGATCTATTGTGGATATCCTTTAATCATTGTTTAGAGTACCTTGTCTAATGCGGTCTTTTGTAGTAAACTCCATAGACTGGAAAGTAGTTCTCCGGTATAGCTAGTTGCCCTTGGTTTTTCTTCTCCAAGTGTAAGGAATCTCAGTCTTACTAGACCTTCGCAGTAGCACAATACGTGTTCTGCCGTTTCCTCTTCTTCTTGACAGAATCGGCACAAGGCCTCTTCTGTCAGGCCTACTAACGAAAATCTAAAAATTTTAAAAATTATTTTAGGTTATTAAGATAAAATAACTAATTTAAAATTATATATGACTTTTACCAATTTATATAATAAAATAAACTTGAAAATAAAAAATATTTAATTTAATTAATCTCCACTCCTAGAATTAAACCCGGGACTTCTGCATGAAAGTCAAATGACCCAGTCACTGCTCTATCGCCACATATGATATTTTAGTTTTATTAAAATTTATGGTTTATCACGTATAAATAAATAATATAGTTACTTTTATGTTTATACTAGGCATATTATCTCTTATTCTGAACAGTGTTACACTTCTCCACACTAAACTAACCATGGCGTGAAGACACCAAATTCTGTATTCAGTTCATCCACCAGAACTTTAATTAACCTTAATCTTTTAAGGGGTTTTCCGCTCTAGAAAACTTATTTATTATGGGAATTAGTTTTAGGGATATTTTGTTGATATGAAACTAGAGGTGTCATTCATAATTCAGTAAC